CTTGTTTAGGTCTTGTTTAGGTCTTGTTTAGGTCTTGTTTAGGTCTTGTTTAGGTCTTGTTTTGATCTTGTTTTGATCTTGTTTTGGTCTTGTTTTGGTCTTGTATTGGTCTTGTTTTGATCTTGTTTTGGTCTTGTATTGGTCTTGTTTTGGTCTTGTTTTGATCTTTTTTTGGCCCTGTTTAGGTCTTGTTTAGGTCTTGTTTTGGTCTTGTTTTGGCCCTGTTTTGGTCTTGTATTGGTCTTGTTTTGGTCTTGTTTTGGTCTTGTTTTGGTCTTGTTTAGGTCTTGTTTAGGTCTTGTTTTGGCCCTGTTTTGGTCTTGTATTGGTCTTGTTTTGGTTTAGTTGGTCTCGTTTTGATCTTGTCCATGGTCTTATTCGAAGACTGTAAAAGGGTTTAGTACAATTAATATAGGCCAATTTTTTCCCTGCCGGGATCGATGGCGCCTATTTTCTTTAATAGAGACTTGTTTAATGGAGACAAAGCTGTCAAACGCGTGGCTTAAAAACTGCGAGATTTTACTTCAAGCCACTGAAGAAGACATGTCGTTCTTCATGTCAAGTCTAAAAATATGCATTGAAAAAGTCTCAGGTATTTGTCAAACAAAATGAAGTTGCCTTTCTTAATTTGTTGATGAATACCCGAGCTTGAAAAAAAAAAAAAAAAAATGGAGAACGATCAGTATAACCAGTTCAGGACCAGTTCCGTTCCCGTGAGGAATGAGACCCCCAACCATAAACCAACTAGCTGACCACCAATGTCGGCTACAAAGTTCTCCAGCTATAATATATATATTTAGGCACTGCCTAAAAGCAGAGCTCCCGATATGGAAGTCACAGGGAGAACAATTTGAATGAAACTGAAAGGTAAAAATAAGATCGGGAAAAAAATCTTCATTTATTTTTTATTCGAGATGAAGATAATTTCTCCCATAATAAAAACCATGCAGTGAAATCGTTTTCTTTGCGCGAGTTTTATTCTCTTACACTTAGGAATTTTGTACACATTTCACCACCACCCCCAGGAGCTAGTTTTGTTCTTCAAACATTCTTCGACMGAGTTTTCCAAGGCCGACAGTTTTAGGCTTTGAATCTCTTTTACTTAAAAAAAGCGAAAGATAACTACAGATAATCCAATACAATATCAAGTTTAGTGAAATTTACCTCGGATGTATTTCATTGAAATCGAAAATCTGGAGATTTAGGACAAATCAAGACCAAAAAACAGACTTGAAAATTGGTTAAGGTGAGCAGAAAATAAGCATACTTAAAGTGTATATGACACGAAAACATTC